AAAATATTAAAAAACTAATCTGGCTTAAACTTTTGTCGTAGACTATAGAACAAATATAATATACAATGTTTTTAACGATATTTTCATACCTTAAGATAACAAACAAACATCAATTTCGTTGTAAAATAATGTTAAAACTAATTCTCTAGTCCAAAAACACATTACTATTTTTCGAGGAAGACGATCGATGCTTTTTTACGTTCATCTTGCCACTGCTCGCAGATACTTGTGTTGATGGTGATCGAGGTCGTTTGGAAGTTGTAGATGTTGATGTTTTCTTCTTCTTCGACTTTACACTTGATGATTTCGAAGTACAACTTAATTGATTTTCTTTATTAGTCGAGTCATTTTCTGTTACATTTGTCTAAATGTAAAGATATTCAGAAAAACTATTTTTAAGATGAGAAATACTCACTGTATCCAGTAGTTTTACACATTTTTTTTCTTTTAAATGGCGATAAAACGCTGATAATTTGAAAAGACCTTCTGTACATGGTAATTTAAATCGAATACCGCATTGGCATGATAAAACACAAGTATATGAATTATTAATTGATTTGTTGATCTCTAAAAAGTACTGTGTACCTTCATCTAACAATGAATTATTATTATTATCAACTCCATCCCACCATTTACTGATTCGATTTTTAATATCAAGTATATGATCCATTTCATTCATTTTGTTCTGAACTAATGGTAATCTTGATCGTGTTGGATTTGTATCGGTACTCGACGAGGTTAATGATGTAGCTGATAATAATTTTGTTTCATTTTGTGATTGTGTTTGATCAATAGATGTTGATGTATCAATACTGGATGATGAATGTTGACCAGACGATCGTTTCTTTTTTTTTTCTTGTTCTTGTTTAATACTCAATAACTGGATCAGATTATTGATAGCAAGTTTAACACCTAATCTAACTTCGAACCGCTTATTGGCAAGTTCAAAGCAACATAAGTTTTTCAATTTGTTGATATCCTCGGACTCATGTTGTAAAACAGATAATATATCATCAGTTGTGGTGTTTAAAAGGTGTGACCCATTTCGAATTGCTTGAAAACTAAATAATTGTGCAAGATCATTACCATACCAATGTTCAACAAATTCATAAAATTTATCTTGATTATAACTAAAGATATCATCTGGTAAACTGTTGCTGTTTCGTTTTTCAGGAATTACTAATGGCATCAGAAATTGAATATTTATCTTAAATAAATAGATTCATTATGAAAAATATACACAGATCATCAATCTACATTGAAATAAATAATAGCATACGATAAGAGATCTGCATATGTGCTATTCGGTTGATGGTGAATCTATCACAGAAAACTATAACGTATAGGTATTTTCCAGTTTTTCTCTGAACTACTGCTACATTCTAATTTATAAAGAGTTAATGTTGTCAGACAAGATATGCTATGAAGATTTTTATTTAATTTTTAACTCAAAAGCTCTTCTTCATGTTACAAAAGACCATTACAAGGAGTTTCTTTTCCCAGTAAAGTTGAGTTAAAAAGTAGATAGAAATAGATAAAAAGCTGATTGGGCACACAGAATGTTCATTAAGATTGGATACATAAGTGAATCTATAGAGAGCGCTGTTAGTCCATCATAATAATAGTAGTTAAGCGTATAATATCTTTTAAACTCTAATAATACCTCAGTATTCGTCCGGCATCTTCTCAACACCTCAGCACTTTCTCAGCACCTTTTCAGCACTTCAGCACTTTCTCAGCACTTTCTCAGCACCTCAGCACCTTCTCAGCACCTCAACACCTGCTCAGCACCTGAGCACCTGTTCAGCACCTATCAGCATTTTAGGTGCACGATACTAGCACTTTCCCCCTTGCAAACGATAGTACTGATTAAGTTTGACAACACCATACGGGACATTGATGCTAAATGTGCACCGACAAAAAAGGCAAGGTAAATTTGTTAAATCGATTGGAAGCAGTTAGTTTGCAAAGGTTTTTCGAAAACTATGCTTACTTATTTTGCAATTTTTTTTGAGTTTTTAGCGTGCTTCAATGTGTAGAGTTATCTTTTGAAGGAAAATTGTTCTTTGTATACATAAAGGTGCAATTTTCAAGTTGTTAACGTCATACATCATACTCATATCAATCACATAGTTCGTTTGCTTGTTCTCGTTATGCAGTTGCATACAGGCAATTTTTCTACCCCCCCACACACACAGAATAGAAGCCCAGCCTCACCACTATAATTTTCCGAATGTAATAGAAGCCCACCGAAATCGAAATGGCGAATGAGGAAAAAAATTCTTTTTGCACATCTACCTAGGAAGAATTTTTGAAAAATTTTTTTTTATATTCGAAGATGCTTTTATAGGATCGCATAGAGAACTGTGCAAGTGTTTATATTAGATAGAAACCTTTCAAAGTAATGCCAATTTCACACTAATTTGGACCCATTCCAAGAATTCAAAATTGGTGTAGCCCTAGGTCATCCCAGTCTTCAAAAATTTCGTTTTTTTGCTTAACGATGTACAAAACTTTTTAAGCCTACCTCCCTCAAAGTTCGATCTCAACTCCAGAACATCGAGACCGCATGAAACTTTGAGGATATAGTGGGGGTGTAAAAGTACGTCTGTAGTGAAATTTTCAGCTTCCTATCCTGATGTTTGAGGTAGATAAGAACCAAACAAGCGTCGAAAAATAGCTTATCACTTCTCCAAAAATTCTCTATGGATGTTCAATCAATATGTTTGATTGTTTTTTCATATGAAAGAGCATGCCAGGATGCAGTGCCTATAGGGACCCTATTTTTAAAATTCTTATCTTTATGGAGAACAAAAGGCTTCGCAATTTCAATCACTCAAAAATCCCTCAAAATATGGTGCTTGTAAAATAAAATTACTTGTCAATATAAAAATAGCAAAGCTTTATCCAAAAAAGGGCTCTCATTAGCATTGCAGTTTTTGATGCTTTTTCAAACAAAAAAATATTTGACTTCATATCGCATTATAGTTGACTTTTGGTGTAGATACTTCGTTCCACTACAACTTTGAGAAAAAAGATAAAAAGTTTTGGATTTCTTGAAAAACTGCTGGTTTTTCGAATAGGGGTTGTCAAAAATCTTGAAAATTTGTCGGAAAAAAGGAAGTAACGAAGAAAACTTTTTATCGTTCATGAATGACCAATTGACAGGCTATCTTTCTATATATTTATCTCAATTTCAGTGATTTTGACGAAAACTGAATTTTTTCAGGGGAACCTTAAGAAATTTTTAAAAACGTATCGAGAAATTCTTTGAAAATTTCCAGTTTATGAAAATTTCTAAGAAATTTTTTGAAACAGTAGTTGGCTCCCTCCCCAATTTCTGTCAATCGAAACAACACTACATTTAAACAGTTGCATAGGAATCTTAATAAATTTACTATAATCGTGGTGTGATTTTCATTGAAAACAACGTTTCAAATCTTTCTGTACACGGCGAAAAACTGGACCGCAATAGAAGCGTATTCTCAAACTTACGTTTTTCAAACATAATAGAAGCCCACTGGGCTTCTATTCTGTGGGAGGGGTAGAGGTTAATAAGAACAGATTGTTGGGAGCTGTTTGTATTATATTTTTATTTTGTCATTTTTCGTGATAAGAAAATGGTTTTTACATATTTGAGTGCAGAAATGTCTGCTGCATCGAATGATGTAAAACTCATCTAATTATCATAAAAAATAATTAAGTAATTAGCGGTAGTTCCCGACTAATTGAATTTGTTCTCATTAGGAGCGCTGTTCGTCATAAGAACAACAAGCGAAAAAATGTTCCTAACAAGAACATTCCATGTAAATATATGGAAGGAAGAGAAAAAAATTAGTAAATGAACTTTTTTTAATCTGAACTTAAAAATTTCGATATACTCTTGGAACAAAAAATATACCTTATCATTCAAGAAGTTATAATCCTAAGGTTCAATTTTTTTCAATTTAAAATAAAAAAGTTATTAAACTTTGAAAAATCAACTGCGTGTTGTTATTAGGAACACTATTCCTAATACGAAAAGCCAGCGAGAAAATGTTTCTTATAAGATAGATTATACAAAGAACATAGAAAAAATTTCTTTTTTAGTAAACGGAGTTTCTTATGCATAAACTAAGAAATTTCTTCATGGGTCCGCATTAAGAAATGTTCTTTGACTCATATTACATTAATATCCATCGATTCAAGCTAAACGGAATTTCTATGTACTTAATCTTTATAATATTAATATCAGTAATCATGATTCAATTGTTTTTTTCATTTTTAATAGAATATTTGAAAATATTTTTGTTCGGAAAAGCATTTAATTATAACAATTTTTATGTTTTCAAGATATAAATTAATTAATAAACCAAAAGGACCCATAAATAATAATCGACCCTCTCCCCCAATGAAATCAGAATTTGTTCAATCTCTCATCAGCATGTGATACCGCCTTACTAGGGCTATTAACTCATATGTAAACTGGGATGGGTAACAGTTCTGCTGATCCATAATTATCAATGCTAATATCAGAATCCTAATATTATGATCTTCACACGACTACCGTATGACAATATGGCTCTACTTAGCCATAGTCGACAGTAATGCTTTTCCAATTTTTACCAGCATCTCATAAGTCTAGTAGAGAGCTATCGATTCATATGAAATCTAAAATGGTCGACTACTTGGGAGATCTATAATCCGAGATACTAATATCCATACTCCACTGCTTATATTAGCATTGATAATTATGGATCAGCAGAAGGTTGTGGATGGGTGTGGGTGTGACTTGCAGTGTAGACACAATGTACACCTGCACCCACACCCACACACCCACCACGCACACTCACACCCCACACCAACTCACGCTCACACCCTTCCTGAGAAACTTTTTTGTTGAGAAGGAGTGTGTTCAATGATTTTTCTTCAGAAAAGGAATGGGTCTAGCTATTTTTCAAAACCAGAAGCAGCATAAATAGACCGTTTTCGCATACGATTCTTTCTTGAGAACAATAATAGATCGTTTCTAGTGGAATAGATATTATCTATCGATACTAAGTAGCTAGACTTTATTCGTAGATGTGTTCGTAATCTTATAATCCGAAAGCTTGTAATAAGTTCATGTCGAAATTTTATACCTATATAAAACGTTCTTATTTCATTTTTACTAGTTTCTTTTTATTTCATATCTTTGTAAAACAACAATTGATATAGCAATGAAAAATTTCACTTGAAGTAATAATTTGAGTTTTGTTGGTATTTAATACGTTTATAAAGCTTTTAATACCTTAAATAGAAAGTTCTTAGTGACTTCTACTACATAGAGCTTTCTCATCTAGTACAACCGAATATTACTCAACTGAAGTACAAAATATCAGCAATTTATATTTATTTGAAACTTGAGTTGCTTTTTTCGCAATTGAAATTAAAAAGTAAATTATAGATAATTTACTTTTTAATTTTATAGGAGAGAAGATTCATAAGAATTCTATTCAATCTTTGAAAAATGTTCTACTTTCAAAACCATTAAATTATACATGCAATACGAGAGCGCAACTTAGCAAATATTTTAATATTGAATTCAATATACTTTAGTAATAGTTCAAAACATTTCTCGATACTCTAATCGTGAAAAAATTCAGGCATAAATATAATAAAACTTATGGACAATATGTAACATTGTCCGAATAGTATTACAAGAATATGAGCCATAGTTAGAAATATATACTAAAGAACTCGACTGAGGCTATCCTTGGTAGTCATATTGCTTTCTCAACGAAATAGTCCTCCAAGAAGTCCTATCCACATTCCTCTGAAAAAGTGTTATCTTTTGAGAAAAAAAGAAACACATCAAGGAGAAAGCCAAGTGAGGGACGATGTTGTCAGTCAAAATTACTTTCTTCATTTTAGTTTAGTGTATTTAACTTGTTATGAAACGAGAAAGAAGCATTTTCGAAGTCAACGTCATTAATAGCAGTGTATAAATATGAAAACAAATTCCTACCGTCCAAAATAGTTGTTCTTCATGTTTTAGCTATACGTAGTCTATCTATATGCATTGTCTGCTTCGAATGATAAAATCAGAATCCTATGATTGTGAGACAGATGTATATACACAATATCTTCCATACCCTAGTCATATTGATAGGTGGCCAAGTTTACTTAGATAAAACTGGATCATGCTGCCGGAATGTGTCATACTTTGTT